GACACTGTCAAATACCTGGACACATGCCACACAGACTCACTGCACATGTACAGTTGTGTCAAAAGGCCACCAACCTATAGTCATCAGCCAGACTGAGTTCACTAGAGTTCTGCTTATTTCATTTCCAAATCTATCATTGAGTTCTGGAGAATCAGCTGCATACACACACACACACATATGTCTATGTATACTTGTATATGTATATGCAACTCATTCATCAGAACATATGTATATGTGTGCATATGTATGTATATATAGATGCCATATATATCCACATATATACATATGCACCTCTTAAGTTTTGAGTTCCGGTAGGGAGCAAGTGAAGTAAGTCCTCAATGAATGTGTATTGCTGACATGGGCATGACCCCATATTGAGGACCCCAATGCCTCAGTCCCATGGGAATGGCAAAGCCCTCCCCACACGAGGCTCAGAGGCATGACAAAGCTTTTCTAAGGCCCAAATGCAAATGTAGACAGTGCATGCAGAAAATGTCCACTTCAGCTTTCTCTCTCCCCTACATGTTTATGGCCTGATGACTTCCCCTACAAAGACTACTCCTACCAAGATAAGCTGAACCTGCCTTCTTGTGCAGCTGTATATAATAACCCTGCCTTCTTTCTTAGCCATATACAACAACCCCACCTCCCCACATATAACAAACAGGCTGATCTCGGACTGCTGTGGATTCTCCACCAGAGAGCCCAGACCACTTGAATCCCAGCTTTTCTGCATGTCCATGTATCTGTCTTTGCTTCATTCCCTTGGTCCCCCAGTCAGGCCAATCCCCAAAGCATGTATATGCAGCAGATACCCATTCCCAGCATCTCTTGCAAATCTGACTGCCATGTTCCTCTATCCCCTCACAACACAGACCTGGCATTGATGATCGGGCTTTTCCCATATGTAGCTCTGAACTCTTCATAGATACACTTTCTTGGCACATGTCACTTCTGACCCCACAGCAGAAGCACAATGTCCCATACAAACTCTGATGTCCCGAGGGCACATACATCCACAGTCCAGGCACATGAATGCACAGGCAGCAGAGAGCCTACGTGTAGAGTGCCTCTCCTGCCCTGATGTGTCTGCACACATGAAAGCTGATCTCTGCATTCCCTGGTCACTCTCCAGTGTTCTGTGGGCACCTGTGTTTCTGTGCAAACACGAGCAGATAACTGAAGTGATGATGAATGGATGAATGAATGAATGAATGAATGAATGAAACTCCGAGAGGCAGAGGTGAGAAGTCTTTCAGACTTTCCCATGTGGACGTGTTCTTAGCAGACACGCGGCCTTTCATCCCAGTTCAAAGGCTGCTACTGCTTACAACTCCTTTCTATCGCTGTGTTCTTCCTCTACTGTGTCCGTTTAATACATGCTGAGCACTGACCACTTGTTAGACTTTCCTGTTAGCACCTCACTCAGGAATAGCTCAGCTCTGTCACCATTTTAGAAAACATGGTCAAGACCCCATGATATGTATGGGGACCAGGGACCAAGAGTTGAATACGTGTACCCCAAGAATCTCTGTTCCCTACATACTTGTAAAACCCACACAATCCCCCTTCCTTCCCTGACTCTTGGAGCCCCCGCTTGAGACAGCAGGCATGGGCATCCTGTTCTCTCTGAAGCTCCCTGGGTCCCTAGATTTCTCTCAGTTCCCAGAGGATGGATAGAAAGGAAGGGAGTGCTAGTTGGCTTTTTACTTTTGGCACCAAAAGCTACTCAGAGCCTGAAAGTAGGTGCCACTTACGGCCACCCATTAAGCCCTCAGCAAGCCTGAAGAACATGGGAATAGTCCACAGCACCTTTCCTAGTCGGGTACATTAGTGCCTCCATACCCCAGAGGATTTCTGAGGCACCCAAATTCTCAGAACAGGACTCTGTTTTACCCAAAACTTTTTCCTTAGGATGCCTGAGTGAGGGAGCAGACACAAGGAGGCTTCCTCCCTCTAATAGCTTCAGAATGTCTGTTTCTCTCATAAGATGCTTACTAAGTTACTAAAGGGCATACCTATCAATTACCCAGACATTAGCTCACACGCTCACTGACACACACACACACACACACACACACACGTTGGTGCTCACGGATCACACTCCAAACCCGAAACCACACCAGTTATTGTAATTGTATCTGCAGCCCTATAGTTCCTGAAAGGCAAGCGTCCCCTAGACCTCCCCCCACCCCCGCCCTGTTCCATACTCCTCACTGTCCCCGGGACTGTTCCCACAGCAATGCCCACAGACCCGGGAAGTAAGTGTGACTCACAGACCCACGGGTCACTCTGGTAGTACCCACAAGAGGGTAAAATTGGGAGAGAGAGAGAGGGCGGGATGAGAGAGGGAGGGAGAAAGGAATGGAGACTACTACCTCTAGCACTGCTGAGGTCTAAGCGGGATCCACCCAGAACTGCCCAAGTCCAGCACTCTCACCCATAGCTCACACTGACATCCCGGAGCCCGACACACTGCCAGGCTGGGTGAGGCTTCGCAAACCCAATCGATAGACACACGCACTCGTAGTACACAAAGCCTCGGGCGCGCAGATGCACACACGCAGGTCCACGCGGTTAGACCCAAAGTTCTGCGCGGAAAGCCCCAGGACCCCAGCCTCCCGCCTCCCCCGCTCCCGCCGGCCCGCAGTTCACACCCCCTGCTCCTGCCCTTGACCACCAACGCCACGGGCCAGAGCAGGCCAGACCCGGCCGGTCAGTGCTCGCAGAGGGGCGGCCCTGAGAGGCTGGGGCTCGGCGGGGCCGGCGTGCTCTAGGATGCCCCGGTCGCGTGTCCTTCGGCGGGCCGCGAGGTCAGGCGAGCTGTCCTTCGCTGCCACTCCCCGCCTCGGGCCCTGCGCCGGCGGCTCGCAGTCGGCGTGCGGAGCCGTGTCGGGCCTCCCCAGACTCCGCACGCAGGAGCACAGGGCTCCGGGCGGCCGAGGGTGTGCGCAGATCCTGGCCCGGCCGCTGCCTCGCCCTCCCCGGCTCCCGCCCCCTTCCCGGTCTGCCCGCTGCGGCTGCCCGGGCGCACGTACCTGCTCGCGCCGCGCCGGGCTGCACCGCGTCGGCCGCTGGGGGGCTCCGAGAAGGAAGGGACAGGGCAGGGCGGGAGCGGCGGATCCTGGAGCGACGCCGATCGAGCTCCGCCCGCGGCGGGCGAGGGCGCCGGGAGAGTTAGCGTGGGGAGGGAGACGGAGGCGGCTGCGGGTGCCCGGCCCCCGCCGCCCCTGGAGCCACCTCTGTCTCGCCCGCGCGCGCTGGCTGGGGAAACCCGAGGCTAGGAGCCCTCGGCGCTCGGTGCAGGGGCGGGGCGGGGCGAGGGAGGGGCGGGGGAGAAGACCCCTCCCCCGTCTCTGGGGAGACCCTGCTGCACCCGGGGATGCTTTTCCCACCGCAGGTAGGACCCAGGGTCCTCTTCAAGGTTTATAGATCCGGAGTCTCGCCGTTGCGTGGGGCTCGATGGCTCACGGGCGCCACGTGAAGGCAGAAACGAAGCCTCTACCCACCTCTGTTTCTGATGGGTGTCCTTCTGGGGCATTGTCCACGGCCACGCAAGCTCTTGAGCTCCAAAGCCACCTGCAAGGCCCCCTTCTGCTGAGCAGCCTGCCTGGCTTCCTCACAGAAACACTGGGGTTCCTCCGTGTAGGCACTCCTCTGACCTGTACTGAAGGAGAGCCTGGTACAGGTGTACAGGTTTCTGTTTTAAGGGGAACTTCTTTCTCTTCGGGGAGGGCTGTGCAGACCAAGCACAAAGAGAGGTCTGGTGAGGAAGGAAAGGTTACAGTTTCTGGGAAGACTTCGTGGCCAGCTTCAGGTAGGCCTTATCAACTTTCTGAAAGTCATTGTCCACCTTTGTCGAAGGGAACCGTGACTGCTGACTGAGGACTCTGCCAGCGTGAGCGGAGGCCATTCTGACATCCAGGAATACAACTGAGGTGAGAAATGCCTGCCCTGGCTCCTCACCTCTCTCACTGGAGAAGGCTCACAGGTCCTACCCAAAGGCATTCAGTCCTCACCCACCAGGAGAGCGAAGCTTGTCTTGGAAGCCTTGTGAGCCAACACAGCTATGCCCTGTGCTGAGCCTCCAGAGTTAAACAGGCCTATTGCCCTCTATCCTTTGAGAGGCAATGGCACCAGATCCTGTGCGGTTCCATCTCCACCCCTCACAGGTGTACGACCTTGTGCAAACGTCTCTCTTTACGCTCATCTGTAAATGGACTCGGGAATTCTATGAGATCCCAGCCAGTACAGTGTCCATCCATAGTTCCTTCCCTGTCCTGTGTAGTCCTGCCTCACAGCACATCCTCAGTGGTCACTCTGTTCCTTCACTTCCCTCAAGTCTTTGTCCACATGTCACCTTCTCAGAACCACCTGCCCAGGCCATCTTCTTAAAAAGAGTAATGCTCTGGCACCCTGCATGCCTTTACTCAGAATTTCTCTCTAAGGCATTCATCAGCTCCTGATAGTGTATTTCTTTGCTCAGTTCTGCTTTTAAATAAGTAACAGGCTGGGTGGCAATGATACAGGCCTGTAACCCCAGGACTCGGGAGGCAGAGGTAGGTGGAACTCTGAGTTCCAGGACAGCCAGTGCTTCACAGAGAGACCCTGCCTGGAAAACCAAAACCAAGACAAAACAAAAAAGAGCCAAGTATATATACAGCACATGCTTTGTCTGTTTCCCTCCCTGGTGTATCCCCAGAGACTTAAAAAGAGCCAACATGTAGGAGGCCCTTGATATATATTCTTTGAATAAAGAATTGAGAGATGCACAGCTATTCTTTGAGCTCATGATGTATGCTTGCAAACTAAGGAGAGACCATCCCTACCCTCAAGAAACTCCAGTGATATTCCAGAAAGAAAAGGGATACACACAGGTAATGCTGTAGCCGCAGTAAGGGCTAACAAAGGTGCACTGTGCTGTATGCATCTCAAGCAGAGTGCTTGTTTGAGTCTTGGGGATGGAATAGCCTTTTAGCAGAAGAGGGGACTGGGCCAAGATGGGCACTTGTATAGATGGCAAGTGGATAAAGAGCAAGGAAGAGACACCTGTCCGAGGACTAGCATGGACAAAGGCCCTGGCACAGAAGGGAGCACAGTGAGTGTGGGCATGGAGGGGTATGGTCACAGTGGGAGACCAAGGTAGGACATAGCAGGACATGGGGCTTGAGGGCAAGAAGGGTGTTCTCCTGTTCTTCTCAGAACAGTGGGGACTCATGTGGAAGAGTCTGGGTAGAAAGTTAGCCAGTCTCCTTTCCCTTTTCCATGTGAATTTGACTTTTGGCTGTCCAGCTCAGGGCTTTTGGTTTTACAAGGCCAGAAATATATTCCAGGTTATTGAGCAACACTGTTTAGATAAGTATGACTCCCGCAGAGGAAGCTAGAGTGACCCACACAGCAACAGATGAGAATGGGAGAGTCAATATGAACAGCTTAATATAGATGTGGGTGAGTATGTATAGACATGTTTACAGAGCAGTCATGCATGCTCCTGGAGCCATTGGTTACCGTGCAGATGTGTCCAAGTCCAAAAACCACACCAAATACAACCAATCCTGCAAATGGCACAGAAATGAAGTCAAGAAATCCTGGTCACAAAGATAGGAATCTCTTAAGGGGCTTGACCCCAAGTTCCTGAGGAACATGTGGTTTGCACAAGAAAGGCCTACAGATGATGCAGGCAAACTCTGTGAATGCGATGAACATACGTGCAGAGGTCATAGCAAGGCCCTTGTGAAGCCTAAGGCAGTTAAGCCCAAGATGCCTAAGGGCCCCAGCCACAAACTCAGCCGTCTGGCTTTCATCGCTCACTCCAAGCTCATATCATGCAGAAGCAGGTATTATTCTGCATGGCCAGGGATTGCAGGCTACACCAAGCAAACCCCGAGCTCAAACCAAGGCTGCGGCCATAGCTCTAGCTCAGGCCCAGGCTTCAGCTCCAGTTCAGGCTCTCAAAGGCGCCCAGGCCCTGTGAAAGCCCCGTAGGAAAGGCTTCTATCTGCCGATGTGAAGGCAGATGGAATTGTGTGACACTCCTACACACTATTTGCAGGTAGTTAGTGCCCTATGGGTTTTCCTTTGCAAACAATCTTGTGGCAAGATCTGTTTAAAAATATTTATACAGAAACGTGCATATACATGAGTTCACACACATGTATTTCTTTGCTAGAAACAATTGTACTCCATAGCAAAGAACACACCTAGCACACTGATCTTGGTTTCTCTTATGTGTGTGTGTGTGTGTGTGTGTGTGCACGCACACGTGTACCTATGGGAGTTAGTTTTCTCCTTCTGCCATATGGATCTTTGGAATCAAACTCAGGTTATCAAGCTTAGAGGCAAGTGCTTTTCTGTCTGAGCCTGAGAGCTTTGGTTTCTAATACTATTCTTCAATAAAAGGAACCAGGGCTCCTTGGAGCAATGAGGCAGAAAGTATGTAAGATGAATCATAAAATAAATTCTACACAAAGGGCTGGAGAGATGGTTCTGCAGTTAAGAGCACTGGTTGCTTTTCTAGAGGACCCAGTTTTGATTCAGAGCACTGACAAGGCAGTCAACAAACAACCATGTATAACTCCAGTTCCCAGGAATCTAGTGCCCTCTTCTGGCTTCCATAGGAACTAGGCATGCATATAGTACATGGATTACATGCAGGTAAGATACCGTGTACATGAAGTAAGATAAATAAATCCTTTAAAAGGTTTAATTAAAAAAAAAGAAAGAAAAAAGACTGAATACTGGCAGATGTGGTGGCACATGCCTTTAATCCTAGCATTTAGGAGGAAGAAACAGATGGATTTCTGAGTTTGAGGCCAGCCAGGTCTACAGAGCAAGTTTCAGGACAGCCAGGCTACACAGAGAAACCTTGTCTTAACCTCCCCACCCCCCCACACATACACACAAAGAAAAGCAAAGAAGAGATACTAAACACACACACACACTAGTGTGATCATCTCAAAAGACACGGGTCAACTTAAAGTGCTACCAGCCAAAGCTGGAAAAATAATCAAGCAACGAAATAATACAGTGATTCTGGGTTGTAACTGAAAGCATAACATAAATATTCTTGACTCCATCTTGATATAGATAGTGGAATGGATCAATGAGAAGATAAACTACAGCACAGTATTGTATCTGTGTGGCTCCATGGGCCTCAAAGCATGGAACGTAATGCCCCACCTCATGCATTGATTGTACCTAGTAGTGGCCTTTCCAAGAGTGTGTATGGAGAAAGGAGTTACGTAAGAACCTGAGAAATCTGGTGCACTTACCTGGACCAATACTGGGTCCAGGTCTATACTAGTAGTCAGATTATGGTACTAGTGTGCACCCTTGTTATGAGGCAAAGAAAAAGATACTTTAGTTGGGTGTGGTGGTGCACAACTGTAGTCCTAGTATTCAGAATGGTGAATCGGGAGGATTGCTGTAGGTTTAAGTTTTGCCCTGTCTCTTTAAAAGGAGGGGGAGGGTAGCTCAATGTTTAAGAGCATTTTCTGCTCTTGCAGAGGACCCAGGTTAGGTTCCCATCTCACATACATGGTGACTCACATCGGTTTATAATTCCAGTTCCAGGGGATGAGATGCCCTCTTCTGGTCTCCTCAGGTACCAGGCACTGCATGTACACAGTACACATACATGTATGCAGGCAAAACACTCATACAAAAATCTTTAAAAAATAACTTCATCACAGTTAACAGTTTCATTGTCCCTTTACCTCTGTCCCTTTACAAAGCACAACCTCAATCTAACCATGTGATCACATAGCTTCTGAGCCCAAACTAAGGACCAGGCTATGAAATACTTGAGCAGTTCCCTTCAAAATTGTGAAGGTTGCCCCAAGACAAGGGTAATCTGAGAAACTGCCACAGGCCAGAGGAGCTTAAGGAGGAAAGTAGTAACTACATACATGTGTCTTGTGATAGGAAAGGGTTAACATTGGAACTATAGCATTAGAGGAAAGTGTGAACTTTATAATGCTAATCTCATGTTGGTTCTTACACTGAAACAGACACACAACCCTAATTTAATGACACTTGGAGTGAAATATATGAGAATTCTGTACTATCAAACCCCTCCCCCTTTTATAAACAACAACAACAACAAAATTAAAATTGTTACTAGGCATGGTAGAACACAGCTATAATCCCAGCACTTGGGAGGCAGGTTAGAGAAACCTTGGGTAATAACTGAGTTAGTTGATTAATTATCATTTTCTAACAATAGCTGGTAAAAACTATAAGTACCTAATGGGAAGTTATACTTTGGGCTTCCTGAACATGGGGACTTATATACCTGGAAATAGGTCCCAAGGGACATGAAGCCTTTCAGCCAGGAGTGGACCTGCACCCACTTTTGGATTCTATACTGCTCTCAAGAAGTACTGTTCTGCTGGACACAAGGGTTTTCTTCACAGCAAAGCATGATAACACATAGAGGTCCCTGTTCTACATCCTCCTGAACAAGTCAATGCCAAGTGTGACCTAGTGTCATCTGTAGATGTGGGTACCAAGTTGAATTAACAGCATCCCTGGGAATGATATGTTCAGACTTACATTGTGAATATCTCCTTCCAGGGACTTCCATGGAATAGTGAGGAGATCAACAAGGACAGGTCATGTGGGCAGTTTTTGTGGCTGTGTTGACAAATTGCTAGTTATCAGTAAATTAGCTGTGATTCTGTAAGAAGACTCGTGAAAGAGAATGAGGCTCTTCTGGAGAACATTAGAGCATCACTTGGTGGTCCAGAACTTTCCAGAGTAGTGGGAATGTGCTATATGGTGTTACATAGGTGTTTTGGTTTTCTTCTGCTGTACTACAAATTACCTCAGAACTTCCTGGCTCATGGTTTTGAAGTCTGGAACAGCTCCATTGTCTTCTGTGTGGTGTCAGCGGGTGGCATAGAGATCTGGGAGCTTTCTTGAGTAGCTGAGACTTCACCGTGTATCTGTGGTTTGGTTCTCACTGTTGTCCAGGAGTTTCCATTCTTTTCCACACAGTTCCTCCATGTGACCAGCTTGGGCTTCCTTACCTGGCGTGATCTTGGAGTAGTCAGAAACCTTATACAGCCCCCAGCCTTCCCAAGAGTACAAAAGAAGATGCTTTAGAACATGTTAGAGTCAAGGCCTGAAACTGGCTGGCGTTATGTCTACTGCATTGTGTTGCTCACTATAGCTTTGAGTCAAGAAGAGGAATCTACATACAGGTGTGAGCATGGATCAGTGGATGCAACTGAAGTAGCCTCTCCTGTCGTTCATACTGTGTATGTGTGTGTGTGTGTGTGCACGTGTATATATAATATATTATATATATACATGCACACACACACACACATACACATACTTCATTTCAAGACACAAGTGCTTATTTTAAACTGTTTAAGAAAAATAATGGAATCATGATACTAGCACTATCACGGATACATTGCTTAGAGTAATGACAAACAGATGCTTATTTGAAGCTGATGCTATCAAGACTGCTGTTCGCTCCTTTCTCCCACTGGTGTGGAGTCCTTGATGGTGGTTGGCACCCTGAAAAGACTATTTCCTAGCTTCTCTTGCAGCTAGGTGTGGCCAAGTAGATGGCAAGCTATTAGAATATCATTACTTTGAGAAAAATGTAAGTTCCCCGATAGGAGATAGATATATTCCTCTTGTCTCCTTTTGTCTTTCTTGCTGTTAGGATGTATATATGTATGCTTAGTGGCTGGTGCTTAATTAATTAACCATCTTGAGATATTTATGTAGGACAATAACAAACCTGAAGGAAACTGGATCACAGATGAACAGAAGGAAACAACTACCTGGAGTAATTTCCCACGTTTCTATGTATGAGCAAAATCAACTTCCGCCAGCCATTACTGTTATTTGAGGTTTTCTGTTACTCAGGAGAACTGTTCCTGTCTAACAGAGTCAATTTCAAGACAGTATAAGTAAATCAAACTGAAAATGGATGGAAAAGTTGAGAAAGAGGCATAGGATAGGCTGAAGTTTAAAAATGCAGATCTGCTCCACTGGGCAAACGTTCTGCATGAGAGAACAAGTCTGCAGGACACAGAGACCAGCAGCTGACGCAAACAGGAATCACCCAGTGAGCCTAGG